CTTCAAATTTATATCACTTAACTAGTGTACAATGGCGTTGCCCATCGGCAACCCAACTTAGATTGCGTTGCAATCCATTAATTGCAGAGAACGAACATTTACACTGAAGATGGCACAACGCCGAAACCGGTTAGTCTTCAACCCAAATTTTACAAGGGATGACGTTCCACATTACATTATTTTTAATGGCAGCTTAGGTTAGGTCTGGATACTTTGATTCACAAAGTGGGCTATTTTATGACGTCTGATACTGTTTGAAAGTTTAAAAAGTAGCAGGATGAGATTCAGCGAAGTTTTCATAGTAAATCCCACTTCTGATCTTGTCGCTATTGCTGCGAGCGGTCCAGCTGTAAAGACGATTCAAACTTAAAACACTTGGATTCGGTCCGTGAAGTCACTTCAGCCACTGCTTCGTGAATTCCAGTGGAAAATACACAACGCCCTTCTATTTATGTTCACTAAAACCTTTCGAGAATTAAGGCGTTAATTAACTTATGATCACGTCATATTCACACAGCACTTTTGGGCTCAACTTCGGCACTCGAAGTCACATTCTGCCATTGAAAATTTGATAATTCAATTTCACACAACACTCATTTTGGCATTATCAATTCGCCCAATTATACTTAATTGCGAATTCTCTTTTACAGGCTGCTAAATTCAGCAATACACGCATACGTTCTTAATTGAAAAACAAAAAATGCAAATGTCACTTGCAGTTTCAGCACGTAAACGGAAATTGACATGCGAATGACCGGCTGCTGAAATTTATGGATGTACATTAGTAGAACCAGCGTGCAAGCGACGACGAGTGTAGCATACGCTACACGTTGACAATTAGTGCTGTCAGTTTAAATGACATTTTACTGCATGCATACCAATTGATGTTGTTAATTAAAAGCGACGATAAGTAAACGTGACTATATAATCCGGTAGTGATGAGTAGGGAAATTAAGTTGCGCAGGGTGAAGCAAATGGAGCGCTAGAACGAAAGAGGTCATGCAACGAATTTAAATTAAAATTGCATCAACATAGTACGTCGCATTTAATTTTGTTGCCATTTTGGAATTCTGCTTCAACGCCCGAAATTCAACGAATACCGCCAAGTTGGAAGGAAAAAAACTCTTCACGGCTGTTAATAACATTTTAGCCGGTTCGAGCTTTGCCCGGGAACTCAGGCAACTAATGGTGAGTGGTTGCTGCTTAGTAATTGTCCCAAGGCTAAAATTTCACGATATTTCCCCCCATTTTTCATTGCGCACTTAGACGAGAAACACTACAGTTGGTGTGGATGACGCTACCAGTGCGGAACCGCAACAGCAGCAACAGCTTGAGACCACAGCTTATGTCGAGCAGCATACAGGCTACAGAGACGACGCAACAGGCGACAACACCGCAGCGGCGATAGCAACAACAGCGCAATCACAACACCAACTACGCCGAAACCCACAATCAAGCAATATGGCTGCCACGGAAGCCGACTCGGAGTCTACAAAAACAGCAAAAACACCAACACGACATCGCAGTCGACGTCTGACCGACTTGGTATTGGATCCTAGCTGTAATCGATTAGCATGCGAGCAGTCGGTGGAGCAGCGCGATGCACTGACGGCAGAGGATTATGACGATGCGGTAGTTGCTGATGAAGATGAAGATGACGACTTCGAAGATGGCGTGGATGGCGAGAATGATTATTACGATGAATCGCCGGTGCAGCGTAGCGCTAGATTTCTGCAACCACGCAAACAGCAACAAAGAAAAAGTGAACTGCAAGAAGAGGCAGCGAACACAGCGAAATGTGGCGGAAAGCGACCAAAGCGGCGTATTAAGACGACTCGGCAATTTTCACAGCGCACCACCTCGACCGAGTCGACGGAGAGTGGCGCACGTCCATGCATCTCTAAGGGACAAATGCGGGGTGAGTCTTGGGTGGGGAGGAAGGAACAAAAGCACACACAAACTTCAAAACATAAAAAAAATAAGATAGACGCCTTTGGGGTGTCTTTAGCTTACACTAAATCCTCACATTGCACACATAATCTGCGAAAATACTGACTGAGCAGTCCCAGCTGTCCTATTTCATACTGTTTGCTTTTCTGCTGTGGCTGCAATTCANCAAAAATAAGATAGACGCCTTTGGGGTGTCTTTAGCTTACACTAAATCCTCACATTGCACATATAATCTGCGAAAAGACTGACTGAGCAGTCCCAGCTGTCCTATTTCATACTGTTTGCTTTTCTGCTGTGGCTGCAATTCATGTGCTGTAGCATCGCCAAGCAAGCACTGTTGTATCACGAATCTACTTTATTGGGTATTTTTTCTTTTTATTTCTTTTACTTTTCAGAATTCCGCGAAGCATTTCGTTTATTCGATAAAGATGGCGATGGCTGCATAACGAAGGAGGAGCTGGGCACCGTAATGCGTTCACTGGGTCAATTCGCACGTGTCGAGGAATTGCAGGAAATGCTGCAGGAAATCGATGTGGATGGTAAGAGTGGGCAGAAATAGGCCGCAGTAGCTGGTAGTGTGTTGTGATGGTGCTGTCAAATACTAACATAAAAAAATTGTGCATGCAAAGTACTTTACGCACCGATTTTCTTCTTTCTTACATTTCAGGCGATGGCAACGTCAGTTTTGAGGAGTTTGTAGACATACTTTCCAACATGGCTTACGAGGACAAATCAGGTCTCTCGTCTGCCGATCAGGAGGAGCGTGAGCTGCGTGATGCTTTTCGTGTATTCGATAAGCATAATCGTGGCTATATAACAGCTTCAGACTTGCGAGCGGTGCTGCAATGTTTGGGCGAGGACCTGGATGAGGAAGATAGTAAGTGTGAAAATGTTAGAAAAATAATCGCTAAGTTCACAATTACCTAAATGTGATTGCTCGTGCTTTGCTTTCATGCTTTGTTGCATAAATCAGCTGTCAAAGTGCTGATGGCACTCACTCGCGCTTAAAGTCGATAATGATTGCTAATTTTGAATAATAGCACGTTCACATTTTTCTTTGCTGTCATAAACACTTTTACTTAGCTCGGTATTTACGCTGCCTCTTCTTTTTTCTTTCCAATGTCTAATTTTTAACGTATCAGTCGAGGACATGATTAAAGAAGTCGATGTCGACGGCGATGGACGCATTGATTTTTATGAATTTGTGCACGCTCTGGGTGAACCGGAAGACTCTCAAGAGAACGATGAGGAGAACGAGGAAGAGAATACCACTTCACCATTACCAACACCAAAATCAGTTGTGTCAATGAGTTATGACTAAACTACATACTTAGGTAAAAATTTGGCTGGTATTAACGAAATT